CGAATAATTTGTCCAGCATTCATTGCCATATGCACTACAAGACAAAGGTGTTTCACCCTATTGCATTAAAAAAAACTTACAATTGAATATTTTTGGATTTTTTAAGGTGAAAGATAAATTTTCAGTAACTACAATATATACTGCTTTTCTTTTTTCAGTTTTTCTCCTGGTTCTTCTTACTATCAAAAAATTCGAATTTGAATATGTCTATATATAATATATTTTGCTAAATGATGACTATTTTGTATGAGAAACATCATATATTGTTTTCATTATTCACCACTCAGTAGACTTTTTGAGATTAACAAAAGCGCTGAAGATTTGTTTTAAGTCAAGGGAATCGTGAAAAAAATAACAATAACCATTCGATTTTGCAAAGACATGCTGTACCATCTATTTTTCGCGTAAATGAAAAGAAAATCACATTTAAACAAAAAAAAAAAAAAAAAAAAAAAAAAAAAAACGATAAAAAAAATATTTAGCTCGGATCAAGAAAAAGAAAGAAATTATGGAAATTATAATTAGGCTGTCTCAATATCCTAGCCTTTCTCCCATTGAATTAGTTTGGGAAAAATTAGCTACGAGAGTTCAAAGAGAATACCCAAAGCGTGAGAGTGAGCCTTTTTAGTGTTTGAAGAATATTTGGGACGGTCTCTCATCCATTTTTTTTTTTCAAAAATTGTTGAAAAGAATTTGTAAAGCAGTGATTAAAGTAGGTGGTGTTTTCACTGACAAAAACAATAACAACAACAAAAAAATAAAATTCATGAAAATCTTTTATAGTTAAGTGCTTAATTTTTGTGAAAATAAAAACAAATCTATTGTAGTTACTGAAATTTTATCTTTTACTTAAAAAAAAATATACAAAAATATCTAATTTTAAGGTGTTTTTAAAAACATGCAAGGTTTCTGAAAACTTGTTCTCTATAGTATACCTGTGGACCAAAAGTTTGGGTCCGTTCTCTGGATTTCGAGGAATCGCTTAAAATTGATGGTTGCGTGCCATTTTCAAAACTACAGAGTGCCCCACAAAAATACCCCAGGAAATTTGATACACTTCATATAGTTGTTGGAATTTTTGTTACCGTAATTTGAAACAAAAGTAAAGGATAGAAATTTAGTTGCTTATAACAGAACGAAAACACAAATGTTAGACATGGTTTTCAAACTAAAGAACTCTGGCAAAATTTCTTGGCATTTTTTCAGTCCTCATGTTTGATTGTTTTTTCTTAAAGAGAACAAAGACCTGGCGTTGAAAATTTGGTAACTTTGGCATCTTGGAACAACAGATGATTAAAACATTTATATTTAAGTTCAGTCATATAGTAAAATGTATAGTAATTTTTTTATATGTTAGTTTTGATTTTCATCATATAGTAAACCTAAAATTACCTGTTTTTTTTTTTTTTTTGTGGGGTATCCTATGGCTCACTTCGAACTAAAATGACATTTGCTCTCACATATATTCTGTAATAACGGAATTACCCCATGAATGCGCGATGTTTCCTTAAAATTCTACCTTTTTTTTAAAACTAATCTACCTTGCTGGTCAATGTTAATGTTAGGGCAGGGCGGTTTAAAATATTAGGAAAACCCTTTCTAAAAAAAATTCCGGTTTTTTTTTGTGGGGTACCCTATGTCTCACTTCGAACTAAAATGACATTTGCTCTCACATATATTCTGTAATAACGGAATTACCCCATGAATTCACGATGTTTCCTTAAAATTCTATATCTTATTAACTAATCTACCTTGCTGGCCAATGGTAATGTTAGGACAGGACGGTTTAAAATATTAGGAAAACCCTTTCTAAAAAAAATTGAGCGCAATACACTAATGAGTTAAATAACTTCTTTATTCTGCGTCCTTTAAGGGTAAAGGTGATTGTGACTCTCCACAGCTTCCTATCCCTTGTAGCCCTAGCTTATTAAGACTTAATTAGACCAAATAAACTTCTATGTTCCTTTAAGACATGGACGGTCATAGCTCTCCACAACTTCCTGTTCTTTGTATCCCTCACCAATGTCTGTCTTTTTGCTATCTCTCCTAATCCCTGTTCTGCCAATTTACATAAGCTCGTTATGGAGATTACTCGCAGCTTTTCTCTAACCTGATTCAATATGTTCTGTGCGCATCAGATTCTCCAAGCCCTCTTTCCTCTTTATATACACGATAAATTTAAACCATATCCGATTCGAAGTATGTGTGCTTTTTGTTTCCATTTCACCTAAAACTGTCATTTCTCCCATGTTCAGTCGATGGTATTCTCAGCATGCTTCTGTAGAATCCCATTTTTGTTGTCTCAAATCTTTTCTTCATCTGTGATATCGGCGGACCTATATTGCATTACATTTCTGTTGTGGACCCGGAAGAGGTCCGAAAGAAAACTCGAACTCAGCAATTCAGTGAAAACGTATTATTAACAAAAAGAACGAATACAGAAGTGTTGCACGTCCGTCTGACGGCTAAGTACAGTAGTCATCTCGCCTTCGGTATTTAACAGACCTCCCCACGAGGAATGTATGTAGCACAAGGCCGAGTTTAACGTGGGTTTATCTGAGCCCGTAGGCTCGGCTAAAAAATATACCCTTTGAAGCCGCCTAGACGGCTTCAGGGACTGTCTACCTCCCCGGACGAAAGTTTGCCCTTCGGCAAAGCATCGTCCGGGTTCCTCTCAACTCGTTCACCGGGTTACAGTCCTCTTGCGAGGCATAATATAGTCATAAGACGAGTCTATTTTGTCCATGAAGGTAGGTCCTCATAACAATTTCACTACTCTCTTCCTTGTTTGTAAAACAATTTTCTTACCTCTTAATACTTTGCTTAGCTTTTGAAAGCTGTGTTTCTTTATCTCAATGCGCCATCGGATTTTTGTTTCCCATTTTTCATCCTCTGTTAAAACACTACCCAGATATTTAAATTTTCCTACTTGCTTGATTTTGGCGTCTCCATCTTGTAGTGCGCCACTTGGGCGTTTCCATTTGCTGACAAAAATACATTCAGTCCTCTTACAATTTATGCATAGTCCTTTCTTCTCGCTTTCCTTTACTGCCTCCATTAAGGGTTCCTCTAATTCCCTTTCTATGCCTCCTACCAACACTGTAATCTATATCACCGTCTAAACAGTCACTTATGTGCCATGCGTGATACACGCGGAGGCGATCATATATCTTTCGATACATGACTGACGGGGCAGATTTTTTCCCGCAGTAGGTTGCCATTTTGAGAATTTTCCCGCGTGCGGGTGTACGGATCAAGACAAACACAGTTGTAGGGGAAAATACTGGTATATTTGTAAAAGCAATTAACAATAGAGTGATTAGTAAAACGAAGGTCGGTTAGTACGAAACAATATCCAAAGTCTATAGTCCAACGGTATGTAACGGGTAAGCTTATCTAGACTGCTGTCGCTGACGCTCCTGTCCTCTCTTTAGAGCTGACTTATATAAGAGTGACCAGTCCATTTCTAGTTAGAAGGTGAGTGCGCCCCAACACATTTCTTTCTGCGTTATACCAATTGCCATCTAAGGCAATAGAACCCGGTATATCCTGCTATTTACCCATAGCTGACGGGAGAAGAAGAGGATTCATACCTTTCCCAATGTTATTAGCATGTAAGTGAATGTAATGGATTCGACTGGAATTCGAACTCGGCTCTCCAGTTCCTCAGTCCGAGCCTGCTATCCATTACTCCACCCTGCCACCGTCTAATAGTGAACTGTAACCGAGTCCTCCCTTTTATGATGCCCGTCTATAGACTATTTTCGGTAACTGTTCACGGTTACACATCTAATAAATGTGTCACGTTTCAATTCTTCTTCTTCTTTATCCCGCATCCTTTAAGGGCAAAGGCGATCGTGACACTCCACAGCGCCATGTATAAAATATAACAGCAAGGCAAGTGTGTACATTTTATCTCTTAAACTGTATTTATACACAAACATGTCGTGGAGAAAAATGAAAAAAATGTTAATTTTTTAAATTTTTAATTAGAGATCGATCTGAAATATTGAACAATTTTATTGAAAAGAAATGTTAAACTATAGAGGTAAATGACGGATGTTCTTAATATTACTTGGTATCACAAGGAACGAAACGCGTTGGTATACAAAATTTTCCAATAGGATGACTTTTAAGCTAGTGTATATATATATATATATATATATATATATATATTGAAAAATATGACAAACTGTAAAGATTTTTGTGACTCGTTTCATCCATTAAGATTTCATCGGACTGGGCTTTGTTGACATTGCCACGTCTACACATGTAGTCCTCTTACAATTTATGCATAGTCCTTTCTTCTCGCTTTCCTTTACTACCTCCAGTAGAGGTTTCTCTAATTTCTTTTCTATGCTTCCTACCAACACTGTCATCTTCATATCTCTTGTTTGCTTTTCTTTTGTTTTTAATCATTTCACCCCAAGAAAGGTGGGAATGCCACTAGTACGCAGGGGCTTACAGGGAGTGAACGTGGGAGAAAAGACTGAGTTTAATTGGATTGAAAAGAGGAAAAAGATGAACTAGGTTCAAGAAAAAGGAAAGATGGCGATTGACGTTGCATTTAAATTTTTAGCAGATTGTAGGGAAGGAAGTAAACTGAAGTATCTTCCACAGGCGGCAAGTGTGTGAAAAGGAACGGAGTAGAAGTGGCTGGTTGCATTTACCTATTTCAACAGTAAAAGGGTGGGACCTAAATGCCAACCTAGTAGCATACTTAAATTCATGTAGTCGGGGTACCAGGGGAAAAAAGATCGTCAGAGCATTTACAAGGAAAATAATTGTAGAAGAGAGACGGAAGGCAATTCGTCGGTGAGAAAGTGATTGCCAAGTCAGGATCGCTGTTGCTAATTATTTAAGCCAGGGGTATACCTTACACTTTTGGATTTTTATAGATTTTGTTTAGCTGCATATCAACACCATTATGGGTTATTTAATGCCGAAACCTAAATATTTTATGGCTTCAAGTAAATATATTTTGAACGCAATTGCATTCCCTAAACTAGATAGATAGATAGATAGATAGATAGAAAGAACAAGGAGGAGTAGACATATGATTGGTTGGGTGATTTTGTTTCGTGGCATATCAACACCTTTATGGGCTATTTAATGCCGAAATCTAAATATTTTTAACACGATTTTATAGCTTCAACTAAATATATTTTGAACGCAGTTACATTCTCTTCGCTAGCTAGCTAGCTAGCTATATAGATAGATACAGCAAGGAGGAGTGGAAATATGGTTGGTTGGTTGATTTTGTTTCGTGGCATATCAAAACATTTATGGGTTATTTAATGCCGAAATGTAATTATTTTAAACACCATTTTATGGCTTCAACTAAATATATTGTGAACACAGTTGTATGCCTTCAGTTTAAGATAAAATGTATTGTTGGTACTTCTCGTATAAAATATATTGTGTGTAATTCTAGTATAAAATTTATTGTTGGTACTTCTACCATAAAATGTATTGTTGGTACTTCTACCATAAAATTTATTGTTGGTACTTCTACCATAAAATGTATTGTTGGTACTTCTACCATAAAATGTATTGTTGGTACTTCTACCATAAAATGTATTGTTGGTACTTCTAGTATAAAATGTATTGTTGGTACTTCTAGTATAAAATATATTGTTGGAAATTCTACTATAAAATGTATTGTTGGTCATTTTACTATATAAAAATGTATTTTTATACTTTCAAAGTGGTTTGATTTTATTTGAGGGATCACTATTTGTCGATAGCTGGGACCCTAACAGGTGCTACCACTCCGAGTCAAGGATGACCTGGGAGCAAATAAATTAAAAGTTGGTTCCGTCTCCTCCAAACATCCAATCTCCTGATCAGAGGCCTTGATGCCGGATATAGTTTATCGTCATCCCCAGGATTTTAAATTTTTGTCTTATAGTGTAAGAGATCAGATATTATATTGCAGTTCAGCAGTGTTTTCGTTTAATGTGATTTTTTTTCTTTCTTGGTTCCTATGTGCCTTCTTCGTGTTCTGAAAAGCATCCTTCGCTATTCATAAGCGACTTTTGATATTTGTTTTTCGCTTCCTGCTGTCTGTTACGACACAACACAGACAGATTTGCATCTGCTTGATTTTGACAATGGACTTCTCATTCAATTTCCTTTGCTTTCACAAGATGTCGCCATCTCAGACTAGGAAACGATCGGATGACGAATTATATCTTTCGTGTGACTAAACGGATTATTTCCTAATCCGAGCTGCAAATTTACAGCCACATTGAAACACAGGTACCCGTACGATTACCGACGTTAAGCACCGTCGAATCTGGTCAGTAACTAGGTGGGTGACCGCTTGGGAATACCAGGTGCAGTAAGCTTGGATGTGCAGGTGGTGTAATGGATAATCGACTCGGAATGTGAAGTCGGAGTGCCGAGTTCCAAATCCAGTCCCGTTCGTTATAGTCACTTATACGCAAAGGATCTTGGGAGAAATATGAATGCATTTTTTCTCGTTGAAGCTATTGGTTAATTAGTTCAAGTTGTATCAGTAAATCGCTGTTATACCCCACCCACCACCAAAAAAAAAAAATTCCTGACTTTAAGTAACCTGCAAACTGTTGACAAGCCGTGACAAAATCAATTAATCGGGTCTGGCGGGCGTGTGAAGACAGTACCCGCCAAACAGTGAATTGCTACATAGACTCTAAACAGATATAGGGCCTAGCGTAGCCTCGTTGATAACGAAAAGGCTGAGATTCTCTGTAGCGAATCGAAATATTCGGCCATTCGGCAAAGTCAACATCTTGAAGTAAGTGTTAGAGGTGATGATTTGTGTTGATTCCAGGAAATCCCGGTAAATCAGGCCTTTCTTAAGACGCAAAATGGAAAGAGAGACCATGGCTTTGTCCGCTGACACCTACCCCAGGAGTTACTTTTCACCAGGAAGTCGCATGCCGTCTTGATCCCTGCTCTTCGTTATAACACTGCGTATCATCACAGTGTAATGGTGAACTGTAACCGAGCCACACCAGCTGGATCTCTTATGATGCCTGTCTATAGACTATATTTGGTAACTGTTCACGCTTACACGCTTCTTCTTTTTCTTCTATTCTCTGTCCTTTAAGGGCATGCACGACCGTGATCCTCCACAGCTTCCAATCCCTTGTAGCCCTTAGCAATCTCACTTCATTTGTATATCCAGTCATCCTTAAAATAATTTCCATGTCTGAAGATGACTGGATGTACAGTTGAAAGTACTTGCGTATTAAAAAAAGACCTTATACAGCTTATAATTATTAAAAACAAGGATCATAACATTTATCGAATGATTTATAGGTTAATGCAACTTTAAAATTTTGTTTGCGAAAGGATTTCACCATTTTATATCATTAACTTTATTAATCTACTTTTTGTACGGATTATTATATTGTAATATATATATATATATATATATATATATATATATATATATATATATATATACTAGCAGCATGGCCCGGCGTTGCTCGTGCTTGATTCAAAAATCGTACGACTCATAAAGCAATCGCTATCACTTAAAATATTTTTGCCCTTCCTTGCCTTTTAAAGGAGTGCCATTTTCCCTGATGTTGCTACATTACTTCTTGCCTATCTCACACTGCGAATTTTTTCTAAGCTCAATACTAAACATTAAATCTGTTACGAAAAAAGAACTAAACAAAATGAACACAAAACGATCAGCTTTAAAAAAAAAAGCACTCGTAACTGGAAAAACCGAATGTAAAAGGAATGTTAACAACAAATACTTTTTCATATCCAACTCAGTTCTGCGGAATCAGAATCAACGTTGAGTTTAAGCAAGTGAATGAGCCAATTGGAGTGAAGTGCCATGCAGATTTAAATTTTTTCCACTTGTGACGAATGCAGCTATCGATTTTTTTGCATGCTAGTTAACATTCCTGTCAGTCAGCTGATCTTATTATTCAAGGAACTGATAGTAAGTTAATGTCTCATTAATTTCTTTTAGCGAAGTGATTACGGCATTAATCACCTTAACATTGCTATTTGATTCTTTGCATAAATTGTTTATTTATGATATAATATATAAGCTGCACAAAATATATATATATATATATATATATATATATATATATATATATATATATATATATATATATATATATATATATATATATATGGATATTTGGGCAGCAAACTTTCTTTTAAACATTTTCAATTTATATATATATATATATATATATATATATATATATATATACATGATTTCTGTTTTGTACGTTATTTTTATGGATACATCTTATTTGAGTAAATGCTCTGTTTTAATTAAACAGTATTAATTACATTTACCGGTCTGAATGTTCGAGAAATTTCGTAGAATATATGCGTTCTCTGATGGGAATCGAACCTGTATTCCATATGGAAACCGTCATTTAGTTTGGCATGCTCTTAATCAATTCGACCACATTCTTGTTCATGTGCAACTAAATGTTCTGGGATTTTAACTCTCCCTATTGTAAGACAAGAATATTGCAGTTATTGACCGAATTTATATTTATAAATGATTCACTTAGTTTCATTTTGGAAATATCAGTGTGTGTGTGTTGTAAGTTTTTAAGGAGTATTTAAAATTTGTCGCCCGCCCCCCCTAGAAAAAAGGCAGAAGCCTGAAAATTGTTCCCAGTAGCAAAATATGTAATAAATTGTCTACATAGAAATCAACACTTGATGGGGACATCCGGCCTTAAACGATCAACAGACACTTTTTATTTAATGACCTGATGACTGGTTAAAACGTGAAAATTGCAGTGTTGATATATATATCCGTACTTCTTAGGTCTTCAGATGCTTGATATAAAATTAAAAAAAAAACAATTATATATATGTGAAATGGACAAAGTCCGACAGTTATTTTAAGATATTTTTATGTTTATACATTCTTTTTATACATACAAATATTAAAATGCTATTAAAATTTAAGTAAATGCTCTGTTTAATAAACAGTATTAAACAATATTTACCGGCCTGAATGTGCGAGAAATTTTCATAGAAAATATGCGTCCTCCGCCAGGAATCGAACCTATATCCTATACGAAACCGTCATATAGTCGGACGTGCTTTTACCGATTTAGCCACAGAGGAGCGTTTTGGTTAGGAAGGTCGATTTTACTGTTTTTAAACTACAATTTTCCATGATTTTCTCACGTACATTCATATCTGCTCGATGCGTATCCAAATGTAAACAAATGGCGTCACATATTATGAAATGGACAAGTCCGACAATTATTTTAAGACATTTTAATTCATATGTACCTGAGACAAATCATAAAAATATGTACGTGAGAAAATTTTCTATGACTATTTCTCGGACATTCAGGCCGGTAAATGTTGTTAATACTGTTTATTATAAACAGAGCATTTACTTAAATATTTGTATCTATAAAAAAGAATGTATAAACATAAAATGTCTTAAAATAATTGTCGGACTTTGTCTATTTCATAATGTGTGACGTCATTTGTTTACATTTGAATACGCATCGAGCAGATATGAATGTACGTGAGAAAATCCTGGAAAATTGCAGTTTAAAAACAGTAAAATCGACCTTTGTGTTGAAGTCGGTAAAAGTACATCAGGCTATATGACGGTTCCGTATAGGATACAGGTTCGATTCCTGTCGGAGGACGAATATTTTCTATGAAAATTTCTCGGACATTCAGGCCGGTAAATGTTGTTTAATAGTATTTATTATAAACAGAGCATTTACTTAAATATTTGTATCTATAAAAAAAATATATATATATATATATATATATATATATATATATATGACAGATGTTACGCAACAGTTCGGGAAATTGAAAGAGATTCAAATGCTATGTTCTACTCGTGTCTTTCCAGACATCTACATTTCACACATATCTTAAAACCACTGTTCCAGGAAATATACAAAGAGAGAGAGAGAGAGAGAGAGAGAGAGAGAGAGAGAGAGAGAGAGTGAACGAGAGAGAGAGAAAGACAGAGATAGAGAGGAGAAATAGCGAGAGAAAACAGCGAGAGAGCATGAACATATAGAACAAGAGGAGAGGGACAAAAGATATACATGGATACATAGATAAATTTAAAGAGAGACATAGAGAGAGAGAGAACATGAGGAAAGAGCGTATAAGGAGTTCAAGAAGGAGAGAAAAAAGAGAGCAAGAACAGACAAGAGCAAGTGGAAGGGTAGAACAGATATATATATATATATATATATATATATATATATATATATATATATATATATATACAGCAAGAAGAGAGAGAAAGCAAGAGTAGATAGATAGATAAATAGAGGGGAGGGAGAGAGAGAGCAAGAAGAGAGAAAAGAGAGTCGTAAAAGAGTAAGAACAGAAATAACAAGAAGAGAGTGAGAAGAGATAGATAGATAGATAGATACATAGATAGATAGCAAAGAGAGAGAGAGAGAGAGAGAGAGAGAGAGAAAGTAAGAGCAAAAATAGTGAGAAATCAAAAGGAGAGAGAGAGAAAAGATAAATTTTCTAAGGAAGCCATTTGTCGCCTTCAGCAGACTGAACTTTTGATTAGCACCTGTAAGATTCATTCTAACCAATTTAAGGCGCCAAATTTTTTTTTACCACATCAACAACCTTGGTATGTATCTGGGTTTAAGGAGCCATGTGTTCAGTAAAGCATTATATTTAGAGAGAGAGGGGGGGAAATAGAGGGAGAGAGAAGACAGCAAGAATAGAGAGAGAAAACAGATAGCAAGAAGAGATAGGAAAGAGAGATTGCAAGAAGAAAGACAGAAGCCTGATAGCAAGAAGAAAGAGAGAGAGAGGAGACAGATAGCAAGAAGAGGGAGAGAGAGTAGACAGCAAGAATACAGGGAGAAGACTGATAGCAAGAAGAGAGAGAGAGAGGAGGCAGCAAGGAGTGAGAGATAGAAAGCAGATATCAAGAAGAGAGAGAGAAGGCAGATAGCGAGAAGCGAAAGAGGGAAGACAGATATCAAGAAGAGAGAGAGAGAGAGAAGGCATATAGCATGAAGAGAGTGAGTGAGGCCAGATAGGAAGAAGAAAGAGAGAAGACAGCAAGAAGAGAGAGGAGACAGATAGCAAGAAGAAAGAGAGAAGGCACTGAGCAAGAAGTGAGAGAGAGAGGAGACTCATAGCAATGAATGAGAGATAGAAGGCATATAAGCAAGAAGAGAGAGAATGCAGATAGCAAAAAGAGAGAGAGAAGAGAGATAAAAGGAAGTGAGAGAGAGAAGGCAGATATCAAGAAGAAAGAGAGAGAAGGCATATAGCAACAATAGAGAGAGTGAGGACAGATAGGAAGAAGAAAGAGAGAAGCCAGCAAGAAGAGAGAGGAGACAGATAGCAAGAAGAAAGAGAGAAGGCAGAAGAAATAGAAACAAGAAGAGAGAATGCAGATTGATAAAGAGAAGAGAGAGAAGAGAGAGAGAGAGAGAGAAGAGAGAGAAAAAAGAAGTATCAAGAGAGAGAGAAGGCAGATAGCGAGAAGCGAGAAAGGAAGACAGATAGAAAGAAGAGAAGAGAGAGAGAAGCATATAGAAAGAAGAGAGAGAGGACAGATAGCAAAAGAAGAAAAGAGAGAAGACAGCAAAAAGAGAGAGAGAGACAGATAGCAAGAAGAAAGAGAGAAGGCAGTTCAAGAAGCAAGAAGCATATAGAAAGAGAGAGAGAGGAGACTCATAGCAATGAATGAGAGACAGCAAGAAGAAAACATATAAGCAAGAAGAAAGAGAGAGAATGCAGATAGCAAAAAAGAGAAAAGAGAGAGAAGAGATAAAAGCAAAAAGAGAGAGAGAGAGAGAAGGTAGGTATCAAGAAGAGAGAGAGAGAAGGCATATAGCAATAAGAGAGTGAGTGAGGACAGATAGAAAGAAGAAAGAGAGAAGCCAGCAAGAAGAGAGAGGTCACATAGAGCAAGAAGAAAGAGAGAAGGCATATAGCAACAATAGAGAGAATGCAGATTGCAAAGAGAGAGAGAGAGAGAGAGAGAGAGAAGAGAGATAAAGAGAAGTGAGAGAGAGAAGGCAGATAGCGAGAAGCGAGAGAGGAAGACAGATATCAAGAAGAGAGAGAGAGAGAAGGCATATAGCAAGAAGAGAGAGAGTGATGACAGATAGGAAGAAGAAAGAGAGAAGACAGCAAGAAGAGAGAGGAGACAGATAGCAAGAAGAAAGAGAGAAGGCAGTTAGCAAGAAGTGAGAGAGAGAGGAGACTCATAGCAATGAATGAGAGATAGAAAACATATAAGCAAGAAGAGAGAGAGAGAGAGAAGGCATATAGCAAGAAGAGAGAGAGAGAAGGCATATAGCAAGAAGAGAGTGAGTGATGTCAGATAGGAAGAAGAAAGAGAGAAGACAGCAAGAAGAGAGAGGTCACAGATAGCAAGAAGAAAGAGAGAAAGCATATAGCAACAATAGAGAGAATGCAGATTGCAAAGAGAGAGAGAGAGAGAGAGAGAGAGAAGAGAGATAAAAAGAATTTAGAGAGAGAAGGCAGATAACAAGAGGAGAGAGAGAAGAGGCAGAAAGGAGTGAGAGATAGAAGACAGATATCATGAAGAGAGAGAGGAGGCAGATAACAAGAAGAAAGAGAGAAGGCAGATATCAAGAAGAGAGATAAAGAGAAGGCAGATATCAAGAGAAGAGAGAGACAGATAGCAAGAAGAGAAAGAGAGATGGCAGATAGCAAGAAGAGAGAGACAGAAAGAGCGAGAAGACAGAAAGAGAGAAGACAAAAAGAGAGAGAAAACAGAAAGACATAAAGAAAGAGACCGAGAAAGAAAGAGAGATATATAGATAAGGAACTGACTGAGATAGATAGATAGAAAGAAAGAAAGAAAGAAAGAAAGAAAGAAAGAAAGAAAGAAAGAAAGAAAGGAGAGAGAGCGAAAAATAGATAAGGAACAGATTGAGAAAGAAAGAAAGAAAGATAGAAACAAAGAGAGAGTGACTGGAAGAAATAGATGGATAGAGGGAAGGGAGCCTGGTGTGTTTCTCTTTTACAGTTGATAAGTATATATATATAACAGTTTCACGTGGAAGATAATTTTACCAGAAACAGGTGAGCGTATATATCGTTCCGGGCGGTTGCAAATTTGGCTGCCCTTCCTATTCACCCGTATCTCTTCGACTCTGAAAGACCTTTGACCTCCTGAATGTTGATTTCCGCAACGCACGCCATTTCCTCACTCACGTCTATCTTAAATTCAAGGAAGTTTTGATTAAACGCTATCTTAGTTTTTTTTTTTAAGTTTCTTATACATTTTTCCCGTTTTATTCCATTTGTTTTTCTTTCGTTAAAACCTTCTTACGTCCCTTGAAAAGAGTTTTCCAACATTAAACATTCCAACAAAGCTGCTTACGTTGGTGCAGCTGTTAATAAGCCATTCTCACAGACTGTAGTGAGTTCGATTATTTAAAAAATAAAACAGGGTGGATTACGTTTACCGCCCAACGCATTGGAGAGAAATGTGCTACCCAGCTGTGTACTGTACTGTACTGATGCGGCATTCACCCTGGGCGGATTGAGCCGGCTTCTTCCTGTTATGAGAAGAAGATTCTTGGGATAAATTACAGAAGTAGGGTACCCAGGCCAACTCGGATAACGTTCTTGCTTGCCGCGGGGTTCCCACAGACGCAGAGACAGGAACGACCAGAAGCCGCCGGTTACCGATGCAGACGCTCCTTGGATTTTCACCAGAGCCCTTTTTAGCCGGCGTGTGTGTCAGACCTGTCCGCCTTAGGTGGCCCTACCAGGAACGAAGTTCCGGGCGGCATAGCTCTGACACTACCGTTTACCCAAACTGTGAGGTAAGGGTTGGACTTTGGGGGCTTACAGTACCAGGTGTTCCCAAGCGGTCCCCGATCTAAGTACTGACCTGGCTCTACGATGCTTAACTTCGGTGATCGAACGAGAACCAGTGTTTCAGCGTGATTTAACCGTAAGCTTCACCCAGCTGGGTACGAACGTACGTGCCTCCTTCTAGGAGAAAACTACCGTTTGACCCGACGTGCTTTTGACCACTCAGCCACGGAGAGAGTCACAGTTCAGGACGATTTAGTTGCTCTTCTGAATAATGCACATCCACGCGTTCATATCTTAATTGGCCCCTAATTGTCACTTTAAAAATAGGGAGCGTGTACTCAAAACTGGGAATCCACTAAAATAATATTTGTAGTGATTAGAAATAATGGTGGGTTAAAAATAAAACCCATTATCTTCTTATTGCACGTAGGTCTGATGAACTGGATCGTGATTACGATTACAATGTAAAAAATTATAATAATGGAATATTAGTGTTTGAACCTTTTATATCATATATATATATATATATATATATATATATATACCGGATGAAATGACAAAATTGTCCAAATTTTGTAACAGCCAAATTGTCCAAATTGTGTAACAGCAAAATTGTCCAACTGTTAGATTAAGTTTGAAAATTTGTATGTTAGAAATGATTAAAGCTATCTTACTGGAATTCTCTGAGGTTTTTATAACACTATTGGACTCTACTTTTACCAATAAAAATGTATGATTACGCTCTAAGCTTAATAGAAGAATCGTGATGATATTGATTATAAACGAAAATCACAAATCAATCATAGGTAAGGATAGGAAGCTCATAAAGGTTTGATATAAAGTTCAAATATACATATATTATCCCAGGATCATTTGCCAACTTATTCAAGATGATCCTCGCCCTCTCTAATCTTCTAGGTTTCTGTCATAGAGTAACAAGTTGCCTCATATTTTGGGGGTATACACTTGACCTCTTTGAATGTAACTGAGATATTGATACAAATTATTACCCTTACGCCCCTTTTTTAAATAATTGCTCTAGCCGTTACCATAGTAATTTTAATTTTAATTATGAATATGCTTATAAAAACGCGTAAATTTCAAGAATTAGTAATTCCAAAAAGTTCGCTTGAAGATGAAACAGAGCTTAGTACTTTAATTCAATTTAATTCAAATACTTATATTGAAGTTTTCGGCTCTTGTTTTGAAACATGAGTATTCTTATGTAGCGAAGGAATCATATTTTTAAATAGATAATTATATGAGTTTTATCTCATGTTTCTTGCTTAGGATTGTGTTTCCTGTTCCTTCCAAATTCTACTTCAAATCTATATGACTAAAGTCTCCGCCTAAACTCTGAAATGTTTACTATTCATTTATTTAATTTTTTTCCCCTTCAATAGAACTAGACAGGTTTCATCTATCGTCCGGTTTACACTCCTCCCAGATTTTATAAACAGAAAGTTTAATCCTTCTTTCCTGTTCAGCTTTGGGTTTCCGGTTCCTTCTAAACTCTTTTCCTTCTTTTTCACTTCCAGTTGACCCCTTTTGTCTTAGTAGCGTTATCACCTTGCTTGATTAATTAATATATATATATATATATATATATATATATATATATATATATATATATATGTATATATATATATATATATTGTTAGGGCTTTGAGCTAAATAGAAGAATGATGAGAAAAATGTCGGAATTCTCAACGAGAACTAAAATAATTTTGGACGTTGTGGGTGTGGAATTTCTTTTATGTATGTGATAGGAGGTGCAGTGGAGTAATAGATTGCGGCTCGGATTGAGGAACCGGAGTTCGAATTCCAGTCGAGTTCATTACATGTTTATACCTTTGGGAAACGGTACGAATTCATCTTCCCCACCAACTATAGATAAGTAGACTGGGACCTGTAGCCTTGGTTGGCAACCAGTCTAGAAGAAGGAAAACTCTGAACTAAGAATATCTGCTGCCTTGTAGGCCCTTTAACTTCTCAGAAGAGAAATGGAGCAACCTCAACATCCCCGGTTAAAAACGAACCGACAAGCCATTGCACTATGCTGCCCTGAATGTCACCGGGAACCACATTTTTGAGACGGAGGTGAATGCCGATCACAATGGTGCTATGAAATCTAGCAGTTTGATCAAGAGGGTTTGGCGGGAGGGGGTGGCTAATTACTTTTGGGGGGAAACTGCATTCAGTGAGTATTAAATTCCTATTTAAAACTAGAACGTGTGAATGTATTTTTATCTCGGATTTCATGCGTTCTTGTAGGCATTTCAATGTAGACGCCAAAAGGACACATCTAACATTATCAATACTATGTTCCGCTTGTTTGAACCCCATCCCCGCAGACGTGACGTCGCAAATTTCTCGCTACTCGACTGGTTAGGCCTTTCGGGCCACAGAATAATCTGTGCCTGGTGGCGTTAGATTGTAGGCCTAGAATGGCTGGCTACTGGAACTTCAATCTGTCTTTACTGGACAGGCGGGACTTCAAGGAATAGCTGACTACTTTAGTGAAGCGGGAACTAGTGGGGGCGTTTATTGGGAATAGGTGGTGGGTGAGGCTTAAGGATAGGATTAGGTCTTTCAACATCGAATATAGCCAGCGGCTCGCACTAGATAAGGTTAACAAGGTGAAGGCTCTCTTGCTAGTCTAGTGCTATTGACATGGCCATTCTTCTGACGGCGCATATTCCTTACTTTCCATCTACCCTGACCTCCGCAGTAAAGATCCACCATGCCACGTACACTGGGACGAATCATCTTCATTCACTTCATATTCCGCAAGTAAGAAGGAAAAAAAATCTACAGCTTCTTCCCAAGTTCTGCTACTTTGTTGAGTCTACTCCCGCGAGGATGCTTTCCCAACGCTACAATCTTAACATCTTCAAATGTAGGGTTAACCGTTATATCTCCTACATAACCTCATCAACTGCACTTCTTATCTCCTCCTTCTCTTGCTCTCATGCATCATTCAGTGCAATGTTATCGGTCTTGACCTGGCATCTCGACTACAGTCACTTTCACACCACCGTTATGTGGCTTCCGTCTGTCTATTCAATAAATATTTCCATGATTAGCTTTTCCCTTTTGTACCTCGACCGAGTGAAAGTAAGCGTAGTACTAGATTGGCAGATAGATCTCATCGTTTTACCATTGAAATTGCTTGATGTAAACGTAAGTTCTATTCTAATAGTTTCTTCCTTTGCACTTCTAACCTGTGGAACTCTTTTCCGGTTTCATGCTTACCTGCCACCCACATTTAAATGCAATGCCAGTCGCCATCTTCTTTCTTCCTGGACTCTGTCCTTTCTGCTCACTTCTTATGCTCTTTCACTCCTAGTAAATCCTTGCGTCTTAGTGGCATTATCGCCTTGCTTGGGGGTGAAATAAAAAAAAAAACTCTACCTTGAGTGGCTCTTAGCTTTTGTATTAGTAACAACAAATAAACAATAATAATAATTGTCCTTCGGTCTTCCTGTGGTTGATCGGAACGCCATTGGCAATCTCTTTCCACATTGTTCGGTGCTGCATAGCTGTCCCCATATCCCCAATGTCCAACCGTAAATCCCGAGCTATGGTGTCTGGGAAAGTCAGTTTTCGCGAGAAGACACTTCCAGAAGGATGCCACATGAGTAAGGATGAGATGATTTCCCTGTCCGCTTGGTGGCAGTGACAGGCAAAC